TGACTCATAGTGACCCCCCATTGGGATTCTGAGGCAGTAAATCTTTATGGAAGTAGTTTGTCCCGCCTTCTTTCCACAGAGTGGCTGGTGGGTTTGAACCACCAACTTTTTGGTTAGCAGTCAGATGCCTTAGGCACTGTGCCATGGGAGCTCCTTGTCTACTTGCATAGCAGTCCTGTAAAATTGACCACTTTGAAGTAGTCAAGAGATTGGTGAGCAGAACAGGCCTTACCATTAGAAGGAATCCATGTGATGAAAAGGGAGTCTTGGTTTAAATCAGAAAGCCCTGCCTGCCTTCACGTAGCTAATGTGGCTCTGTAGCTATAAAAGCATCTATTTTTCCTTGACTCTTTGTCCACAAGTCAGCCATACTTCTGATAACCTGTGGGATCTGGAAAGTCCTTGAATTTTCTTGTTTCTCTAATTCCTTGCACTTGAATTGAATCTTGATTTTTTGACAGCACCTCACCAGAGAAGGAAAACAGTCTGAGAGGGCCCTTTGTGATGCAGAGCAGACCCTAGAAGGAAGGAATCACACCCTGCTTAGGGCCCAGTTACTGTTGCTCAACTGGCTGAGATCAGCAGAAGTCACCAGAATGATGACGGGGTTGGGAATTTCTGTTTAACTCACTGTTGAGGGGTGAGCGGTAAGGGGAAGATAGGGTCATCCCCTTATACCAGGAAATATGCAACTATAGCCTAATCATTCTCAGCCATATACAAAAGGATAGCTGGGACCTCATTCATTTCAGGGTGCACAAGTGCTTTGTAGAACAACTAAAGACTAAAACTCTTTCCAATAAAATTTCCTGTTTCCTCCTTAACACATTTGCCGGTTCTTGCTTAGAGAAAACCCAGGAATAACAACAGTTCCATTGTATTTTCATTGAATCTGGAGTCTGATGACATTTTTACCTGATAGGGAATGGTTTATAGAAATTGCCCTCATAGTTTTCACACTACCATCCACACATGTTGTTGTTGTTTTGTGCCGTCGAGTAGAACCCGGCCCATAGCGAACCTCTCCTTGGGTTGCTGAGGCAGTATCACTACGGAAGTAGATTGCCCAGCCTTCCTTCCAAGGAGTGGTTGGTGGGTTTGAACCGCCAGCCTTCTGGTTAGCAGTCAAGTGCCTTAGGCACTATGCTACCAGGCCTTATAAATATTATACACTCAATAGAAATTAACCATGTATAGAATTGTCAAGAGGCATCTGGGAAGACTGCATAGAGGTGGCAGCATTGGGGTAGGCCTTGAAGGGTGACTAAAAATTGACCTGAGTGGGTGGGAGGGCATTTAAGGCCAGGGAGATCTCAGGTAGAAGGAAGTCACAATGGTATGTGAGAAAATGAGCACCAAGTTTACTTTGGCTGGGATGTAAAGGGAGCTGAAAAGTTGGATATCAAGCAGACAAACTTGAAAACCACATAGAGGTGTTCAGACTTGATTTTCTAGGTAGTGAAACTTCTGTGAAGTTTGTGAGGGAGAAATAAGATCAAAGCTGTGCTTTACAGAGTTTGATGAGCTAGGATTGGCTGATGGATTCCCTGAAGAGAGAGACAATGCTGGAGACCTGGAGTTTTAGTTATGCAACAAGAGAGAAAGCAGTGGCATGAATCAGTGGTAAAACCAGAAATAATATTCCCTACTTGGATGTAGGCATAGGTTTTTATTCACTGTTAAATGAAATTAAGATACTGATGTTTCAAAAAAACACGGTACCTATATTGGATTTTTAAGGAGCCTGTTGGCTATGGCTCAGGCATTGAACTCCTAACCAAAAGATCGGTGGTTTAAACCCACTGGCTGTTCTGAGGGAAAAAGATGAGGCAGTCTGATTCCATAAAGATTTACAGCCTTGGAAACCCTATGGGGGTTGCTATGAGTCAGAATAGACTCAATGGCAGTGAGTTATATTGGATCGCTAGCATATTCTCTTGGTCTGTTGATAACTGGAAATGCATGAAAATGAGACCAACAAGTACTCCTGTTTTTCAAAAATTAGTGATAACTTTTGTACAGTTTCTAACTCTGATTTTTACTGAAACAGGATTGATTTTTCATTTGTTATGTTGCCAAGTTTTCATTGAATAGACATTATTTTTATGTAAAATAGATACATGCTTCTGCTTCTTCATTTACCATGGTTTCAAATCTAAAAGAAAGGCAGAAAGAGTAAAAGTATTAGATCTTTACAGTTCTTGAAAGTATGACTTTTTATAGTTATAAGCCTTCAATTAGATTATCTGCTAACGAAAGAAACTTTCAGCTGTTTGTATGTCTTTCCAACCAAGTGGTCCTAGGAAGAGCGACTATTTGGACACATATTTTTAGATCAATTTTTGGTTGTTTTAGGGCATTTTATTTGCTTACTGGTGAAAAAATGGACAATAAGAACATGACAATAGTCATATTTGTGTGTTCCTCAAATCACACGTAAGTAATATATGTGAAATACTTTATAATTTATAAAGTATCATAAATAGGAGCCCTAGTGGTGTAGTGCCTAAGGCAATTGACTACTAACCAGAAGGCGGTTCAAACCCACCAGCCACTCCTCAGAAGGAAGGTTGGGCAATCTATTTCCATAGTGATGTTGTTGTTTTTGTTGTTATGTGCCGTCCAGTTGGACCCAACTCATAGCGACCCCTCCTTGGGTTGCTGAGGCAGTATCACTATGGAAGTAGATTGCCCAACCTTCCTTCCAAGGAGTGGCTGGTGGGTTTGAACCTCCAGCCTTCTGGTTAGCAGTCAAGTGCCTTAGGCACTGCACTACCAGAGCTCCCTTACTGCCTCAGAAACCCAAGAGGCGTTGCTATGAGTAGGAGCCCACTCCATGGCAGTGTGTTGCATTGTTGTTGCGTTATCATTATAAATGAAAGTTTTTAGAAAAATAATATCTTACATCTTTCATGCCTCTTGGCATAAAATCATTTTAATTAAGAAATTCAGAAACATGCTATAAGTAAGTGGCAAGATTTCTGGTGAATTGTGTTTAGTTTAACCTTTTGTATGTATGCTGACCTGGTGTCGTGTCTAAATATAGTAAAACTGGGCAAGCATTAAGAATTTCTAACTACTAGCCAAGAAAACCCTGTGCAGCAGTTCTACTCTGTCTGTAACATGTGAGGTCTTCAGGAGTCGGTGACTGACTCAAATGCAGCTAACAACAGCCACTGGTGAAATAAAATATTAAGCAAATACATTTTAACAATCAATTTTTTCAGTGGCTAACAATCTGTTCAAGGAAAATAACTCATTTCTTCTATATAGAAGTTAGTTAAACTATTTTTAAAAAAAACATTTAGCCATTTTTCTTTCCATCACTCTTTTTCGTGGGAAAAGGGCCCTGAAGTACAGAAAAATAATTTCCCCATTCTTTTATGTTTTTCCATCAATATGATTTCTAGAAAATATAAGTTGTTTTTTGGTTAAAGCATTCAGCTGCTAACCAGAAAGTCAGTTCCAACATGGCATCCGCTCTATGGGAGAAAGATAAGGCAGTCTGTTTCCTTAAAGATTTCATCTTGGAAACCCTATAGGGCAGTTCCACTCTGTCCTAAGTGGTTGTTATGAGTTGGAATCAACTGTACAGCATTGGGTTTGGGTTTTATTTTGGGGGGTATGCTCAATAAGGACTTTAACAATCCTACTTGCTTTAATGAATTTATTACTAGACAAAAGTAAGATGTCTCTGTCCACTGTTACCGAGTTGATTGCAATTCAGAGTGACCCTATAAGATAGAGTAGAACTACCCCACAGGGTTTTGAAGTCTGTAAATTTTTATAGAAGCAGATTGCCTCATCTTCTTCCTGTGGAGTGGGTGATGGGTTCGAACCATTGACCTTTTGGTTAGTAGCTGATTGACTATCCGTTTCACATCTGGCTCAGTGGAGATGCTTAATAAAGATTTGAATCTGGAATAAATTAAGCAATGTTGAGACATTTAGAAACGAGTGAAAAGCCTTACATAACCAAGTACTCATGGCCTGAGGAAGACGGAAAGAAGAGTTGAAAGGAATATTCTTTGTGCCAAGAGAGAAACTAATTAATGTGCCCAAGACCTCCTCTGTGAGTCGATTTTAACAGGATTGTAAATCTGTGCTTGAGTGAGTTTTTACACAGAGTGTGAGTTGCTCTTGGCCTTTCTGTTTATCAATACTGTTTACAAGATGTTAAACTACAGGGTAGTAGAAGCTTTATTATGCATTTCAGTCTGCCAAGATTGTGGAGTCTATTGACTTCACGCCCTCTTCTTTGACAGCCTGGCCTCATTCATTACTACTGTGTTAATAATAATCCTTGTACCAAAAGGCACATCACTGTAGTATCAGGGGGGTTCTATGTGTATCATGTTGGGAATTAGAAGGTCTGTTACTTTGTTCAGTTGAGTTCTGGGTATCAGAAAACATGCTTGGTGGCCTTCTGTTTCAGTGAAAAATGAACCAAGTTAGGGCAGCCAGGCTTAAAATGACTTATTTGGTCTCTCTTCAACTTTTTCATTACCATAAACCTTACTTTCGTAATCATTTCTTACCAGAGCACAGAGCCATACGGAGTACTTCACAGCTAGGACTCCATCTTTGTTGTTGTGTTGTTTGTTTCTTTAAAGAATGATGCATAATTATATGCATAGAAAAAAAGATTAAGAAGATGCAGAGAAATATAATTTTTTTTCCTCATCTATATTTTCTATGGGAGCTCTGGTAGCATAGTGCCTAAGGCACTTGACCACTAACCAGAAGGCTGGCGGTTCAAATCCACCAGCCACTCCTCAGAAGGAAGGTAGGCAATCTACTGTAGTGATATTGCCTCAGAAACTCAAGGAGAGGTCACTATGAGTTGGATCCGACTCAATGGCACATAACAACACAACAACAAATATTTTCTACAGAGATTGTGTTTTGCTGGTATAATAAAATCAAAGTTCATTTCAAAAAGAGAAGCTTGCTAAAATAATCATGGCTAAAAATTTTGTCTTTTTTCTGTTTTATTCTAGAAATTGAAGCCAAGGAAGCTTGTGATTGGCTACGGGCAACAGGTTTTCCTCAGTATGCACAGCTTTATGAAGGTGAGTCAGAAGCACTGTTTTGTTTTGTCTTAATTTATTGGTATAATCATAATCCTTGGTTCATAATTATCACTAATCTATTACATATTTTAGATATCTGATTTATTTAAATATTTTATTTTTAAATTAACATACTAAACACTTGTGACCCCACCACAAAAACAAAAGCTAGGACCTTGATAACAACACACCTTGGTGATCTCCCATTCTGTCCCTCTGCCTCTGCTACCTCCTACCCAGACAAGCCATCATCCTGAATACTGTTTATCTTTTTTTTTACTATTCTTTCTGTATAATTTTATTACATTTAACACACATACACTCATATATATATATATATATATACACGCATATATGTATGTATATGTGTGTGTTTACATACACATATGTATATATGTGTTTATATATATATATATTTATTTTTACCTTTATAAAAGAATATTGTACTGTATGTAATCTTTGGGGATTTAACTTGTAAATGTATTGTTATATTGTTAAGATTCTTCTGTACTGTGTCCCTGTAGTTCATTTAATGATCCACAGTTTATTCATCCACATTCTGATTCATGGGCATTTTGGCTTTTTCTAGGTTTTGCAAATTACAGTCTGTGCTATTATGAACATTCTCATATCTATTTTCTGTGGTACATGTGCAATAATTTATCTTATGTGTGTAACTAGGAGAGGAATTTCTACTGGGTTATAGAGAATGTGTTATGGAGAATGATAAATCTGTCTTGGAAGAAATATAGCCAAAATGTTCATTAGAAAGTAAGGATGGCACGACGAGGTCTCAAGTACTTTGGACATGTTATCAGGAGAGACCAGTCCCTGGAGAAGGACATCATGCTTAGTAAAGTAGAGGGTCAGCAAAAAAGAGGAAGACCCACAACCAGATGGGTTAATACAGTGGCTGCAATGTGTTTAAACATAGTAACAGTTGGGAAGATGGTGCAGGACTGGGCAGTGTTTCATTCTCTTACAAATAGGGTCACTATGAGTCAGAACCAACTTGGCAGCATCTAACAACAGAGAATGTGTATGTTCATTTCTATAATGCAGACTTTTAGAACGTGTTTGTAACAATTTTCTTTTCTACCAGTAATATGGGAGCTCTGGTGGCATACTAGGAGCTCTGGTGGCATAGTGCCTAAGGCATTTTACTGTTAAACCAGAAGGCTGATGGTTCAAACCCACCAGCCACTCCTCGGAACTCTGGGCAATCTACTTCCATAGTTATACTGCCTCGGAAACCCAAGGAGGGGTCGCTATGAGTCTAATTGACTAGATAGCAGTGAGTTTGGTATTTGGACCAGTTATATGTAAAGATCCTATCCATCTCCTTGTAACACTTGATATTATCAGACTTTCTAATTTTTGCCAATAAAATGGATATAAAATGATATTGTACTGATTTTGTCTTCAGTTTCCCTGATCATTAAGTGATAAGGAATATTTCTTAGATGTGTTTACTCTTCTATAAAATTCATATTACCCATTTTTCTCTTGATGGTGCTTTTTTTGATTTGTAAGAGCTCTTTGTTCTAATTACTAATCGTTTATAAGTCATCTGTTGCAGATACTTTCCCTAGTTTATAATTTGGCTTTTCTGTTTTTAGATTTTTTTTTTTATCAGAGTAAAAATATGTATTACAAACCATTTGCCAATTCGGCACTTTTTGCAGGTACTATTCAGTAGCATTGATTAGTTTATTATGTTGTACAACCATCATCACTATACATTTCTAAATTTTTACATCACCTTTAACAGAAATTCAGTGCTCCTAACCTATGATTTCTTACCTCCTCCCTCCCACTCCTAGTAACCAAAAAAACCCCAAACCAAACTCAAGGCTGTCAAGTCAGTCCCGACTAATAGACTCCTCCTTGTGTTCCAAGGTGGTGTCTCTACAGAAGTAGATTGCCCCATCTTCCTTCCAAGGAGTGGCTGGTGGGTTTGAACCAGCAGCCTTCTGCGTAGCAGTGAAATGCCTTGTTGTTGTTACATGCCCTCAAGTCGGACCTGACTCATAGCGACCCCTCCTTGGGTTTCCAAGGCAGTATCACTACGGAAGTAGATCACTCCTTCCGAGGAGTGTCTGGTGAGTTTGAACCGCCAGCCTTCTGGTTAGCAGTTAAGTGCCTTAGGCACTATGCTACCAGAGCTCCTTAGGCACTAGTTTATACATTTGCCTATTTTATATAAGTGGGATTATACAATATTTGTCCTTTTGTGACTGACTTATTTACTCTGTATAATGTCTTCAGGGTTCATCTATGTTGTAGCATAGTCAGTACTTCATTTCTCCTTATAGCTGAGTAATATTCCATTGTATGTATGTATTAGGATCTCTGATGGTGTAGTACCTAAGGCATTTGACTACTAACCAGAAGGCTGGTGGCAAAAAACCAAACCAATTGCTGTCATGTTGAACCTAGACTTAACAGTGATCCTACAGGACACAGTAGAACTGCATCTTAGAGTGTCTGAGGCTGTAAATCTTTACAGAAGCAGACTGCCACATCTTTCTCCTACAGAGTGGCTCATGGGTTTGAACCATCAACCTTTTGTTTAGCAGCCAGGCACTTCACTACTGTGCCACCAGGGCTTCTCATGTATATACTATGTTTTTTTAATCCGTTCATCTGTTGATCAGCATTTAGGTTGTTTCCACCTTTTCACGTTTTGAATAGTTCTTCAATGAATATTGGTATGTGCAATTTTTGTGTACTCTCCTGCTTTCAGTTCTTTTGGGTATATATATACCTAAAATTGGAATTTGTGGGTCATAGGAGAGTTGCCTGTTTATAATATTTTGAGGAATTGTCAGACTTTTGTGTAGCAGCTGCACCATTTACATTACCACACGCAATGGATGAGGTTTACCATTTCTCCATATCGTCATCACACCGGTTTTTTTTTTTCAATATCCATTCTGTGCTTTCTGCCTTTTGATTAGAGCATTTAATCCATTTACATTGAAAATAATTACCAATAATGAAGGACTTCTGCCATTTCATTTTTTGTTTTTCTGTGTGTCTTTACACCTTTGTACCTTATTTCCTCCATTACTGCCAACATTTGTGTTTTATTGTTTTTTTTGTAGTGAACCATTTTGATTCCCTTCTTTTTTTGTGAATATATTTTTAGATATTTTCCTTTTGATTCCCATGATAATTACATTTAACATCTTACATTTATGATATCCTGGCTTAAATTGGTACCTAACTTAACTTCAGTAACATACAAAGACTCTATTCTTATAATGCTCAACCCTCCATTTTTGTTGTTGTTACCACCTATTGCATCTTTATATTTCACATGCTCTGTAATATAAATTTATACTTGTTTTTTTTTAAATGCATATACTGTTGAAAGACATGAAGAACATAACAACTAGACTTACCAGTCAAAAATACTTTAAGTTTGCCTTTATACTTGCCCATGAAATTACCTTTAAAGAAGTTTGTTGTTTTTTTTTCCCTCTGTATGGTGTCAAGTCCTTTCCTTCCCAAATGAATGACACCCTTTAACATTTCTTATAGGGTATGTCTCTCTTAGATTTTGTTTATCTCAAATGTCTTAGCTTTGCACTCATTCTGGAAGGACAGTTTTGCCAGATATAGTAATCTATATTCTTGGTTAACAGTTCTTTTCTTTCAGCATTTTAAATAAGTCGTTCCACTGCCTTCTGGCCTCAGAGTTTTTGAGGAGAAATCGACACCTAATCTTACAAGGGAATCCTTTGTATATGAAAATTCACTTCTCCTTTGCTGGTTTCAGGATTCTTTCTCTTTAGTTTTTAAAAGCTTGATCATATTATTTCTCAGTGTGAATCTCTTTGGATTTTTCCTACTTCGGGTTCATTGAGTTTCTTGGATTTGTAGATTTCTGTCCTTTCTCATATTTGGGAAGTTTTTGGCCATTGTTTCTTCAAATGATGTTCCTTTCTGTCTCTTTCTCTTCCCTTTTTGGGATTCACATGATGCATATGTTAGTTCATTTGATGGTATTTCAAATTTTACTAGGCTACATACACAACTATCTTGCGCTTACTCTCTTATTGCTCCGCAGATTCTGTATTTTGATTTCCTTATCCTCTAGATTCTTTCTTCTGCCAGTTTAAATCTGCTATTAAATCCTTCCAACAACAAGTTTTTATTTCATTTATTTTATCTTTCCATGTCAGTATTTCTGTTTTGTTTCTTCCTATTGTGTCTATATTTCTCGATAGGGTAACTATGAGTTGGCATCAACTCAGTGACAGTGGGTTGGTTTACTTATCTGTATTGATAAGTAAATACTTATTTTGCTCATGCATCATTTCCCTAAGTTCTTTTAGATCTTTGACCATATTTTCCTTTAGTTCTCTGTGCTTGTTTAATATTTCTGTACTCTTTTCTTTCAGTCTGTTCACGATCTAATTTCCATAGAGACCATTTCTCTTTCTTCATCATTTTCAATTTTTTTTATGTGTGTGTGCCCTGTGATCTTTTTGTTGAAGATGGCATGTTGGAATTTTGTAAAGTATTAGCTTTCTCAATTCCCTCTCTACACGTTGCTTTTCAATAACACTGATGTCTCCAAGAAACCCTTAGATGGGCATGGGTTTCAGAGTTTGCTTACTCTTCCCTCCCTGTTCTGTGAAGGCTTTGATTCTGGCCAGACCAAGGGTTCAGTCTTTCAGGTTGCCTCTAGACCAATCAGAATATATACCCTGAACAGTCCACAATCAAGATCTGTCTTATTTACTTCAGAATCAGAGATTGAGGCCCTTCCCAGACAGCAGAGCTATGCATTAGCAATGGATATGCCCAGAGAAGACGACTGGGGACACTGGAAAAAGATATTTTCCTACTCCTTAAGATGTATCAGTATCTTGCTTGAGATTGTGCCTCCTTATTGTTGTCACTTGTCCATCTTTTCAGAGCACTCACAAGGCAAATTATACACTTCAAGTTGTTTTTCTTGGTGTTCATGTGGGGAAGATTGAGATCTG